TTGAGATTTACATTTCTGAGTATATAAAGACAAACTGAGATGAGTTCATTCAAAGCAAAAACACTTCTTAATGCAGTCAAACTGGAAAGCATTTCTGCTGCACTTTGGCCCTATTTATCACAATACTCACCAGCAATAAACTAGAAATCCAGAGTCAGGTCCTGGGAAGTTCTTAAGTTCTTACGCTGCCTGATAATGTTCAATGACCTCAGCAGCCCAGCGGAGTGGGCCGCTCTGAGCCCTCTGCAGCTGGAGAAGTTAGAGTGGCTGCAGCTATTCCTGTTCATTAACTTGGTCTCTTTTGCTGTACTAGTTTGCTTCCTGCTGAGAGTAATTAGGTTTCTTATATAATAATAATTCCTTGTATTTAGATGCTACCTTTCTCTGTGGACTTTAAAGTGCCTCTCAGACTTTAGCTCATCTGTTCTTCTGACATAATTGCCTCATGAGATAAGTGCTAATTATTCCCATTACCAAGATCAGACAACTAAGGCTCTTCGTTAGCACAGGGTTTTATACAGGGCAGAGTAATCAGCCTTGCCCCACAGTTAAGTACCTGCATAAGGTCATGGTCGAAAACGTAGGCTTCAGCAGCAGCATTTCGGCAGAGCATACTACCTGATCCGCTGCGCATCAGAACATGGCGAGCTCAACTGTGTAAGTGTTGTCAATACTCAGTCAGATTAGCCTGCACAGGACACCTCTCAAGTGGAGTTGAGTCCCCGAATCTCTTCGTAGCCCCACCTCATCATTGCGCTTGCCATGCAGCGTGTGCTCTGTCATTGAGAAATGCTTCTCTTTCCTCACTTGGAAAAGGATGAGTAATAATATAGATCAACCTCAGAGTGGTAAATTTAATCCAAAAGTGGTTATGCATAGAAGGCAAATTGCTAAAAGTGAAGCAGAGGAATAAAACACAGCCTGGCTGTCAACAAATAGAAAACCTTTTGCTAGTCAGTTCTCAATACACTGAAGTCCCATCAAAAACAGCTCTTGAATTAAAGATGTCGTTACGGATGTCTCCTGCAGGGTGGCTCCTTGAGTGCTCATCTTGATAGGGTACTAGAATGCTTTCATTTTTCTTTGCCTTTTTAATTCTTACCCGTTTTTCTATTTGGATTGAGATTGCTCCATTGTACCAAAATAATCTTTTTTAAAGGCCAAAAATGACTTGACCAAGTCATTGCTATTTATAATTAGAAGTACTTTCTAAGAAAATGAAATGATTCATCAGGTTAACTGAACTTTTTCTCCGTAAGACTATTCTTAAAATGGGGCCTCCCTGGTGGCGCAAGGGGTTAAGCACTACACTATGAAGCAATCCGCAGCCTCTGCAGCACAAGTTCGATCCCTGGCTGGCCAGGGAGCAACCCACATGGCGAAGCAGACCTCTCCTGTTTTGCCCGCTGCTTCCCTCAGCAGTGTATTTCAGTCAGTCTGCCTGTTCTGCTCCCCACTCTGTCTCTGGTGAGTCCTCTCACCACTACCGCTGCCCCCCCCCCGCCCCCGCTCCGCATCTCCAGCCTGTACCCCAGCTCTTATATGCATAAATAAATAAATCTTTAAAAAAAAAAACTATACTTAAAATGATTTATCTGTTTTGGAAGGCCATGGAAACAGCAAGAACAAATTGGTGGTGGAAGAACCTCCAGGTCTGGACGTGACACACAGATGAGACAGTGGTACCCAGATTTGCCTTCTTGAGTGTGCTGACATCAGACCTCTGGTTTCTTTGGAGTCCCTAAATTCTTTGCCTTTACTGTTAGAAATTAATATTGAATGTGAGGGAATAATATTTTATTGAACAATAGTTTATCGATGGCATAACATTTATCTCCAGTACCTTTCTACTCTAACTTGCTGTGAACTGGATTTTCCTTAGTACCTATCTTCATTTGTTTTGAATTCTGTAGGGCCGTCTGTGGTCTAGTTCCTGGATGGTCGCTCTGAGTGCATTAAATGTCCCTGGGCTTGTGGAACTGGTGTATTTGCATTTCACTGCCAGGAGGCTGTGCTGTATACAATGGGGTTGAGACACCAGCATGAGCCAGGGACCGAAATTTTTATTTTAAAATCTGAAATGCTGTGTAAGCATTTAAGGTATGAATCAGTAATTGTTTCACAACAGCTTCCATTAGATATGGTTTATTTGTAGTCCATCCTCTTTTCAAGGATCCAGGGGAGTGTTAACACACTGAAGCATACTGCATATCATTTACATTTTTAAACCAGCCTTCAAGGAAAGCCACTATAACTTTTAAGAATTCTAAATACTGGATGAGATTTTTGTGCCTCTGTCCTTGTGGGAAACACCATTTATTTTACTTTTTCATTTGAAAATAAGAACAGAAACCTTTCTGCTCTAATGAAGGATTTGAAGCCCTCTGAAGCAGAGAAATTTACCTTCTTAAAACAAGAAAAGTCTGGTTCAAAGATTGAGAACACTCTTCTCCCTCCTAATGAATGCAGAAAAATCCAAACTGTTAAAAATCATCCATCTCATTTGAGATTTGAGATCATCAAATTCTGTCTAAATATTTTGTTTTAACTTCTAAGCTCATTATGGTGTCTTTGTGTTAACTTGTATTAAAATCTGTCAGCTATGACTGGTCTCATAAGCACAGTCAGCGGACCAGAATAAGTTAATTATTTACTTGTGTCACTAGTGCTCTTCATCTAATGAAATGCACAGCTGTGTTAGATCTGCAGTGGGATGTGTAGCCTCCATTGTTCCGCGAGTCAGCAGAGGGTAGAAGCCGCAATGATGGAGAGCCCTCAGTTCTTTCTGCTGTTCTGGCTTTCTGTGTCGATTTCATGGATCTTTTATCATTCACTTTCACACAAAACAAACAACACAGGGCTGTCTGCTATGGGAACCATCTTGGCATATAAAAGGGTTTTCAGAGCCTAAAGTAATTTTAAGTTAGCTAAGATTTAATTTTTGGCTTACAGGTGCCCTTGATTCAGATGCGACCAGAGCAGTTCCTATGACAGAATGGGGGGAAACTTCCAAAAGTTACCCATAAAATACTTAAACTCAAGGACAGAAAAGGACTGATAGCAAAATAACTTCCCCCAAAGGGATCTTGATACTAAATATTAATCAGATTTCATGGGGAGTTCTTGGAGATTCAGATTTCAGGGGGAGGAGCTTGGCTTTCATTTTAATAATAAAAAAGTCAAATTTGCTTGATTAAACTTATCACTAAAACAGAACATGCAAAATGCAAATCATCTCTCTCCTCACCCTCCCCCCAGTGTCAGGATGCCAGGCTTCCTTAGTGGTTCTGTATCTCCTGCTCCTCGCTCCCACCTTCTCTTGTTGTGGGGGTGACAGGAGCTTCCTTCTGAGCCTACGCCGGCATCCCCCTACCCGGTCCTGTGGATGGACTGCTGAAGTTTCTCTTCTGTTTTTGTCTTTAAGGGATGTAGCCGAACCCTTCTGTCTCCTCGCCAGCCAAAATCCCATTCTCACCCGAGCCCATCCAGGACTGGCCTCTTTAGAATCTGGCGTTTTAACATTTTGTTCACCGCTGAACAATGTTGGTGTCGGTGCACCTGATTTACAAGTTGATCTCTTTCAAAGTAGATTTCCCAGTGCCTCTAATGTTTTGTCAGATAATTTCAGTGTGGACAAAATAGATTTTTGGAGGAAAGAAAAAAAGGGTTGCACACGCTACTTGGTTTAAATTCAAGCACGTTAGCTGATTTTGAAATAAAGTGATGATTGTTTCTGTTCTTCCCATAGGAAAGTATACATTCTTTATAATAAAAATACAGTTTTGAGCAAAAATGCAAAGTACCTAACATGCTCTAGAACTCAAACCCACAATCCTAATTACCATATTATAGCAGCCACTAGAAATCAGAGTATTAATAGACAATGTGAAATAGGCAACTGGCATTCTTTCTCTTCAGACCTCAGCTCTTGGTGATTATAACAAATCACAAAAATTTTAACTCTAAAGTGCTTTGGGTATTTAAGTAGAAATCAAACAAGAATGGAAAATTTCTCTGAGAAAAGTTTCTTTGTCAGTAGGTACAGAATTTTTACTCAATGAGGAAGGAATTTTATCGCTAAATAGAAAAACTTTTTTTTTTAGTCCTGTGCCATTTACAAACTAGTTTTCTGATTTGAAATTATGAAGGCTGTGGTTAACAATTAAATTCTCTTCCTCCTCCTCCTCCCAAGAAAAAGAAATCAGAGGAATTAAAAACTGTTTAAGCATCAAAATCCCCTAGAAGTTAGGCTACTCGTAAGATGGTAATAAATACAGTTAATTTACGGGACTGTCGGCAGCATGCAGAGAGTCGGTAGGTTTTTGTGTTGTTGTTTTCATTCTTAGAATCCCGTTTCTAATCCTAACCTTTCTCTCCGAGAATGACTTGGCATTTAAATCTCTTGTTCAACTTCTACATCTTCAGTCAAAGATCACTTTTCTATTGTGTTATAGGCTATGGGAACTAAAATTCCTCCTAGAAGTTTAGGCTCAGCCAAAGCAAGCCCTGGCAAAAGCCAGCCAACCCAGGAAGCACTCTGCAGCCAAAAGGTGGACCTATTAGCACGTCAACCACACAAGAGTACTTCTTGTCACAGTTTTTTTTAAACCCCTGGCTCAGTCATTTCTGTGTTTGGTGTCAAAGGGAATGGATTGCTGTGATTTGGGTGTAGTGTGTAGGACGTCCACGAACTAGATGCCATGGAGCAGAATTGCTGCTGACTCGAATCTGCAGGCCCGGAGCTAGGGAAGTTGCTGCTCTCTGCTCTTCATGGCAAGAGAATCTGGGCGGGCAACCTGGCGGCACCACTATGTCATGCCAGCAGGCCAGTCAGCAGGCTGCTGTGCCTTTCTGCAAAGAAGTCTGTTTTTTAACTGTCCAGCAGGATTGCTGGTAGAGAGCATGGGTAAGGTTTTAGAGCAGTAGAAACAGCATTGGGGAGGAAGAAGTACAAGCTTCCACCTGCCAGTGTGCTTGTCACAGCATGAATGTCTCCCCAGGTGTTTGTGGCCTCATCGTCCCTCAGGAAGACATGCCATTCTGTGATTCTGGCATCTGCCCGGACATCATCATGAACCCACACGGCTTCCCATCGAGAATGACGGTCAGTTTACCTTAAAGTTTTACAAAGATGCTGCTTTTTTTATTTTTTAAAGATTTTATTTATTTTTGCATAGAAGAACTGAGGTGTAGGCCAGAGGTGCAGGTTGTGAAAAGATCCACTGGAGACAGAGTGGGGAGCGGAACAGGCAGATCTACTGAAATATACTGCTGAGGGGAGCAGCAGGCGAGACAGGAGAGGTCTGCTGTGCCATGTGGGTTAGGTGTGGCTGGGGCTCGAACTAAGGCCATAGGGGTGATAGTGCTGAGATTTACCCCTAGGCCACCACGGAGGCCCCCAAAGATGTCGCTTTTGAGGAAAAAGCAGGAGCTGGCTTGTAATGAGTGATTCTTTAACAGGGTCCTTTGACCCTTTGTCAAATACAGGGTTCTGAAGCCTGGCAGTTCTGGGCTCCTCTTTACAGGGGGATGAGGTGCAGCTCTGCTGAGGGATGAGCTTACTTAGCCTCAGTGTGGAAGCCTGTCCTGAAGCGAATATATCCCCCTCCATGAGGGTGTTTGGGTCATCTCACTCCATCACTGAGCAGTTCTCCATTCGTCAGTTTCCTCATCTGTGACATGAGGAAAAATACAGTATCTGTTTCACAGAGGTGTGGAGAAGCATAAACTTAAACATGCTTGTCCAGCTTGTTCAGCGGTGTGTCTCACAGCAAGAGAGCAGTGAACGGAGAGAGCTGCTGTTACTAATAGTGCTGTCACTATTACTAATAGTGGTTGTTGCAGAGTCCTTTGGGGAGATAGGTCAGAGCTAAACAAACACACAACTCCTTTGCCACAGGAAGGTGTTCACTTAAGCTGGTCACGTCCCACAGGTGGGGAAGTTAATTGAGCTGCTGGCTGGCAAGGCCGGCGTGCTGGACGGCAGGTTCCACTACGGCACTGCCTTCGGAGGCAGCAAGGTGAAGGATGTGTGTGAAGACCTTGTTCGTCATGGTTATAACTACTTGGGGAAAGACTATGTTACATCTGGCATCACAGGGTAAGTGTGTGATTAAGATGTATGATTTTTTTAGAATATGAGGTAAGAGCTTTACTCCCTAAGGAATCTAGAAAATTGTTGGTGTTAGCTACAGTGAAGGTGATAATCATTTTGCAGTATGTAGTTTTACCAAATCCACACATTGTACACCTTAAGCCTGCACAAATGGTCAGTTAAAATTCGGTAAAATGAAGGGATGGGAGTAGGAAAGACAAGGAGAAAATTCAAATTCAGACAACTGGTAAATTGAGGAGCATTGTCAGTACTGGTGAGGTTATCATTTAAAAATTAGAAAAGATCTAATTTACCAAAATATGATTTCTATACAGCTTTTAAGGAACACATCTATTATTACAATGCATAGGGTTTCCCTTACTGTCAAATCTTCTCTACATTAGTATGATGAATGTCGGGTAATTAGTGCTCTGACAGCCTGAGGCTTAACATGTGCACATTTACTCCCTATGGAGGCCTGGGACACCTGCTGTGTGCTAGGCCCTGAATATATAACAGTAAGCAAAATACACGTGTTCCCTCACCTGTGGAGCTAAGATTGGTTACTAGACATTAACAGATAATAGTCAAAAGGTGACTTTTAAGCAGGGTGACCAGGATTACTTAATTCAAATCTTGAGCCCACTGTCTCCCATTTCCTACTTTATTTTTCTCATAACAGCTCATTGTGACCAAGTATATGATATAATGATACTCTCTAAATTACGTTTCTGTCTCCACTTAGAACATAGCCTCCGTACAAGCAGAGCTTGTCTATTCTATTTCCAGTCCCTAAACAGGGCCTAACACAGAGGGTGCTCCATATTTCTTTAAGAATAAAGAAATTGGGCCTCCGCAGTGGCGCAGTGGTTGAGCTCTGGGTTGCGAAGCTGCCCGCAGCCTCTGCAGCGCCGGTTCGATCCCCGGCTGCTCCCCGGCCACCGGAGGAGGGTCCCACATGGCGCGCAGACCTCTCCTGCCGCCCGCTGCTCCCCTCAGCAGTGTACTTCGGTCCTTCTGCCTGCTCTGCTCCCCGCTCTGGCTCTGGTGAATTCTCTCACCCTCCCGCTCTTCTGACTGTACCCAGTGCTTGTATGTATAAACAAACAAACAAACAAATAAATAAATCTTTAAAAAAAGAAAAAAAGAAAAAAAAAAGAATAAAGAAATTAAAACAAATAAATACATGTAGAAATAGCTTTCACCAAAATGAAGACCAGGAATAGATTTGAGGACCCCTGTGAGGTAGTGGGTATTTCTACTGAGATCAAAGAATGAGAAGAACTGGCCCTTGAAAATTGGTGTGCAGAGGAAAAGCATGTTGACCAACTTAGGGGAAAGATCTTGGTAAGTTGAGGGAACTGCAAGAGGCGAGACTAGAGAAGGGATACCAGGTCACACAGGTAGAGCGCAGGGTCTTCTTGGTAACAGGGAGAAATGGCTGTCTCTGAGATCATCGCAATGACTAGGTGTTGACACTTGATTCATACTTGCAAGATTTTAAGTCAGTTCCCTAAATGAAGATTGTTATCTATTTTATGGCAGGTAAAATGCTGGGACATGGTGTTTATGTTGTTCCTCTGAGGTTTTAAATGCTTGAACGCAAGTGAACTCAGCATGGATACATGTGTGAGAACACAGAGGAGCTTGGTTTTAATGCCGCAGATAGATTATCCAGATGTGATTAAAATGGTGAAAATCTGTATCTGTTTAAAGTATTTTCTGCATTCTAAGATGACCTATCCAGACTGTAATTATACGGATTTCCTTAAGTGTATTACCCTTGAGGTGTTGTAGAAAATTACATTACAGAAAAAGAGTAATATGCTTTAAAAAAAAATGATTCCATAAAATAGCTAAGGTCCATTTCAAATAACACAGTTGTCATTGCTAAACTGATCATCTTAACTCTTGCTTCTCCATCCAGATGGAAGATGAGTCAGTTCTGTGGACCTTCTTTTGTGAATTTGGTTGAATCATGCTCTGCCTCTATTGACAGTGGTGGGCTGTGTCTACACCACCTTCCCCCTACCCCTAGCTGATGTTATTTCTTTGCAAAAGTTTGAGAAACGGGCCTCCCTGGTGGCACAAGGGGTTAAGGCGCAGCCTGTGAAGCTGTCCACAGTCTCTGCAGCACCAGTTTGATCCCCAGCTGGCCAGGGAGCAACCCACATGGCGCAGCAGACCTCTCCTGACTCACCTGCTGCTCCCCTCAGCAGTGTACTTCAGTCAATCTGCCTGTTCTGTTCCCAACTCTGACTCTGGTGAATCCCCTCACCCCCCACACCTCTGGCCTGTACCCCAGTTCTTGTATGCATAAATAAATAAATATTTAAAAGAAAAGTTTGAGAAGCACTACCTTAGCTTCTTAGTTGAAAGTTCCACCAAGGGCTTGTAAACACATTCACCCACCAGCTTCCATCCCTAGTGACATCCCTCTTGAGCATAGCTCGGAGGAAAACTTGCCACTTGATTCAGCAGATGATGGAATGACAGTAGGTGACCAAGTCCCATAAATTCTACCATCTGCAACCACACTGTGTAGGAACAGAATCATTCCACTTTAGAGCTGGAATGACCAATTTGCTACACAACTAAGAAAATAGAGATAAAGATCATGTAATTACTACATGACAGCTGGGACATGAACAGGGTCACCTGACACCCTACCTGTTGTGTCTCCGGTGCATCCTCCAGGAATCCAGTTCTGTAGGCCCAAGCATGGACAGTGGCTTAATGGCTGCAAACGCCTCTGGAGTGTGGGAAGGCATAGTGAGCACACAAGGCCAAGCAGGTGCCTCTCTGCCACGTCTCCCACTTCATGCTGTGGCCCAAATGTACTGGCTGGGCAGGTAGAGCACTGCATTCCAGTCTCTGAAGAGGTATTCAGTTGCTTAATACATGGTGGAAGAATGTTTCACACAGATACAGTGCAAAGGCCCTGAGGCAGGTACAGACTTGCTGCATTTGAGGAGCAATGAAGAGATCATTGTTGCTGGAGTAGAATGAGCAACAGAGAAAAGTGAAGAGGAAATGAGTGAGAGATGGGCAGGGACCAGATTACAAGGGATCTTGCGGCCATGATACAAGATTGAAATGATATAGATTCTGCGTGTGATGGAAAACCATTGGGAATTTAGAGCTGAAGAATGACCTCCGGTGATTTACATTTTAGAAGGAATCACCCTGGCTTGCTATGTGAGGAACAGATTGTCGAGGGCTAAGAGTGTAGGGGGGAGTTCACCTTGATTATCTGTGGTGGTCCAGGCAAGAAAGGATGGTGACCTGATGAGGCTGGTAGCAGTGAAGGAGGGACAGCCCTGTGCATGGTTTTTCAACCTGTTTAAACTTTTATTTCTTAACATATCTTTTCATGTATCCACACTACTATCATATTTTCAGATTTAGCCTTTCCAAAATCATTCTCACCTACTCAGTTATAAACCTGCTCAGAAATGAGTTAGGACCCGCCAGAGCTGAGTCCTAGAGAAAACTGCCTCTTGTAAGTTCAAACTTCACTTCTTTTTTTTTTTTTTTTTTTAAAGATTTATTTATTTATTTATACAAGCACTGGGTACAATCAGAAGCACGGGAGGGTGAGAGAATTCACCAGAGCCAGAGCAGGGAGCAGAACAGGCAGAAGGACCGAAGTACACTGCTGAAGGGAGCAGCAGGTGGCAGGAGAGGTCTGTGCGCCATGCGGGACCCTCACCTGGCGGCCGGGGATCGAACCAGCGCTGCAGAGGCTGCGGGCAGCTTCGCAACCCAGCGCTCAACCTCTGCGCCACCGGGGAGGCCCTCAAACTTCACTTCTTAACCCAAAGCGCCTGCCTTCCCTCCAGGGAGCCCTTGGAAGCCTACATCTACTTTGGGCCTGTGTACTACCAGAAGCTGAAACACATGGTGCTGGACAAGATGCACGCCCGGGCCCGGGGCCCCCGAGCCGTCCTGACCAGGTAGGAGAAGAGCGTTCACAGAATTCATCACACAGCCAGGTAGTAAGCACACTCAACCGAGTTTGTTTCCCTGAGATGTCAAAATTGGGCATATTGAGCATGAATGGCAATCATATAGGTCTGATTAAATGAAATAGCAACAAATTAAAGGTCATTCATAAGCACAACAGCAAAGCACTGCAGGTCCTGACAGTAGTCTCTGGTCATGGACTGTGGACCAGCTTGCAAAGATGGTCCTTTTCAGAAAGGTTCCCGTGTAAGGATGCAGGTGGCCTTACCTACCCACACACGTGTCAATACACCTGCATGCTCCCCTGTGTGCATTTAAAGCTGAGCAAGTCACATCTGTTGAAATGATAGACTTGTGCTCTTAAGAAGAGCAAGAAGTTGAGAATCTCAAGACAGTAATCAGGGCACAGAGACCCTGCCTGGCTAAGGCATGTCTCTGCTCTGAACGCTGCCCCCTCCAGAACTTCCATTTCAGTTACAACATCCAAAAACTATTTCAGAGTAACATAAATGTCAAAGCTGCTATTTCCTATTTTTTGCTTTGTTATGTAAAAAGTTACTACTTTAGTAATACTTTTGTATATTCCAGATGAGGACTGCCTGGAGCCCGTTTATCTGTAGTCAGTTACCTCAGTTCTTTAAAATCTGAGTTTGGGGTTCTGACCACGTGTGAACTGACCACCTTCACTCCATCCGGTGACCACAAGTGGAGGGACCCCTACCCCTGGGCAATTCTACCAGTAGATTACACGTTTACATGCCTCACTTATGAAGTCTCTACTGCACCGGGCCATTTAGACTTCTCTGTGGGTTTTTCATATGCACATTTTCTTTCAGCAAATAATCTACAACTTAAATTGATTTCCCATTGTAACTTTCAACAACAAGGAATTTCAGCACGTGTTGAACTGTGTTTACCTCTCAACTCTTTGGGAGACTGGCAGTAACAACATAGATTAGAGGATGCAGTGAAATATAGCCAAGAAGAGTTATGTTCCACCCCTGCTTGGGCCACCTCCAAGGAAGGTCACTCCAAAATAGGCCAGTCAGGAACTTGCTTTTTCTTTCTGTTTGTCTGTTTTTAATCATCTGTGTCACCAGTACTTTGGTGGGTTGCCTGGGTTGTTCCAGAATACTCTAACTTTACCTACATCTCTGGATCCTGGGTTCTTCACCTTTTCTCAAGTATTCTCATGCCCAGCATGTGCGTCAACCACAGGAGGTCCACTCAGGGGACTCATGGCTTCCCAGTTCTGGGACCCCCTCAGGAGGCATGAAGCGTTCTCATACATGAACAGCTTTCATGTGTGGGATGCACAGAACTTTCCCAGTCTCTGGAGAACTCCTATCTGGCTTGGATACTCTGTCCTTCCAGGTGACTCCTGATCTACCCCACTTGATAAAAATCCATTTGCTTCTTTCCATATTTAATGTGTTTCTTAATAGTAAATTTCCTCTCTAGATTCCTGGTAATAGCTACTGTTCTGCTTAGTTTTTCTGCTTTGTAAGTCATTAGAAAACTGAGACATCTCTGAAAATACTCTAAAGACATTCTTCCCTATGTTGAGGATGATACCATACTAAGAATAATGATGGTAATAGTAACACTTGCATTGCTGTTTTATAAAACAATATATTAATTTATTATTACTTTATATAATGCTATACAATTTATTATTTTTGCTTAATGGGAATAATAGCAACCATTAGTATTGCAGCCATCTCTCATTTAAGGCATTTCGGCATCGGTCTCCACCCATACGTTTTGTAAATGAGGCTGAGCAGCTAAGCAGCATGCTCAAGGTCACTGTCTAATAAATGGTTTGAGTCCAGGTGAGCCCTGTGCGCCTAGGCAGCATGTGATGCTGCTTCTCTGTTTGTTTAATAGAATAATAACACATTCATCTAACTTGTTTCAAAGGCAACCCACTGAAGGTCGATCTCGTGATGGTGGTTTGCGTCTTGGAGAAATGGAACGTGACTGTTTAATAGGTTATGGAGCCAGTATGCTTTTACTAGAGAGACTAATGATTTCAAGTGATGCCTTTGAGGTTGATGTCTGCGGGCAGTGCGGACTTCTGGGGTATTCTGGCTGGTAAGTGGATACCATATGTCTCTCATACCATCCCCTTGCCTCCTAAATCACAGCTCAAGCATTGACCCTGGGTCACACCCATATTTTCTCCAGCCCTCCCCATGCATGCATTCTTAGAATTGGGGATTCTTTATGTAGATGTTTAGTTCGTCTACACAATATTCTGCTTTCTATACTGCTAGACATTAAATTCTCAAGGAGTGCAAACTTACCTTGTTTTTAACATTCTCTTAGCTACATTTTATAATGCTGTTCACCTGGAAAAGCCCTATCAGATTCATTGCTGGATGTTAGAAGTAGAGTGTATTACAACTAGAAACTTTTAGGGAAGATTATGTCAAATGCACTCATTTGTAACTTCAGACCCAAAGAATCAGAGATGCCCCACGTGCTGGTGCGTTTGGCGAGAGTCAGAACCAGGATCTGGGGTCCTGATCCCCGACTCTGTTCTCTTTATGGCACTTATACTTGGACTGTAAGTTCCGGCACGGCAGATGCTGGGTCTGTCTCCTATTCACTCAACATTCAGCGAGGATCTGCTGCGTGTCAGACGCTATGCGAGGGCCTGAAAATACAGCAGTGAACAAGACGGGTGATTGGCTACTTACAGGAAGTTTACCTTCTAGTTGATCTAAATTACTTTCTGTCTTGTTTACTCTGTGACTGGTAGATGCTCAATAAAAATAATCACTGAACAGTAGCCACCCTGCATATGGAGGATTGCAAATAGGCAAGTTACGTAATTCATGAAGTGTGTGATTGCTCTGTGGAGCGCGGTACACTCAGGCCAGCATCAACGATGATACTACCTGTGTTCTCTTTGTGGAGTCAGAGCGCCTTCCTGCTTGTTTCAGAGAGCTCTGCTTAGGGCTAAGCATGATCCTAAAATGCCGCTGGAGGCAGGAGGGCCTGTGGTTCCCCACTCCATTCACTTTTGTGTCAGAGGCAGGTCTCACGCAAATGCTGCAGGGATGGGAACCAGCCTTCACCCCCCAACACCCCTCACCTGCTCTCTCAGAGCGCCCTTTCCTAGCAAGGAGCCAGCCCCCAGAGCATAGGGTTTGACCCAGAGGAGCATCATTGCCGAGATTTGAAGAATATAGGAGCCATCTTCCCCCCACCAAGCCCCGACTCAAAGCCTCTTTCCAGACAGCCCCTGCTTCTTGCCACCCTCAGCTGTCAATTTCGTGGTTGAATAAAACAAATCAAGAGCCAGAATGAGTGGCTTCTTAGAATGCAAAGTAGACCTTGCCAGTTAAGTAACAAAACCTGTTAGCCAGTTCTTGTCTGATTTTAGTGTAGAGGAGTTGATGAGACCTGTCTGAAGAAATAATTTCTTTTTAAAATACACAAAGAAGTGACTCTTTGCAGTTCACACTTAAGGTTGCAGAGATGGGGTGACAGTATTCTAAGCCTAAGCCTAGCTTTTCTTATGTCAGTGACATGGGCGTTTGTTTCAATTCTGAGATGTCGTGTTTATCTTTTGAAATGAATATTGAGTTTTTTGAAAAAGATACACACATGTTGTAATAGAAAGATGTCTGGAACCTAGTTCCACTGTCTTTAAATCTTCAAATTTGACACAGGAATTTTTAAGTCATCTATTTTGGAGAGATGGTGCAGAAGTCTTTTTTATTAAAAATAGGGATCATGAAACTTCAGGAAGGGTTTGCTTTTCTTCTCTATGCTCCCTGCATTCCTTTCCTCCCCTCCAAGAAGAAAGAAAGGGAGGGAAAAGGGAAAGAAAGAAAGCAGTAAGCCAGTTTCACCCATGCACTTAGGAAACCTTCCCCTCTCCTTTGCTGAAAACTCAGTGACATTAGTGGAAGCGGTAATTGATCTCAGCATGATTCTTTTAAATTCATATCTTTCCTCCTTCTTTTCTGTCTCATTTAGAGACCTTCGATGGCAGAGCCTCATTTTGAAGCCCAGGTTTCCAATGTGTATTGTATTCGAAAACCTTTGAAAGAGGGCTAAGTTGGGTTCCACTGTTTAAGGGTCTTTACTGTAATTAAACAGACCTGGATCTACTGTGGGTCTGCTTTTGAGTGGCCTACTTACACCCTTGTTACCAACAGAAAAAAATCCTCATCCTGTCTTACAGTCTAGCCGCCGGCTCGCGTGCTGCTTGCCGCAGAGGGGCATAATGATGCTGTGGTTTTCCCATCTTACCTGAGTGTATGCCGGGCTGTGCCAGGCTGTGCGGGAGGGAGCAGGCGCGTTGGTTGGAGGAAGTCTCTTTTTAATGAACAGCACAATGGAGGCTGAGTAATTAGAGCAGTTCAGAACCTTGAAACTGGCCTTTTGTGGGTGATTTGCACATTAGTAAGGCATTGCTATGGGGATGTTTACAGCAAGACTGTTGTTCTACAGAAGACACAGGGGCATAAGTCAGAAAAGACAGGTCCAGAAGGAAAACTGCAAAGAAAAGAAGATCCCTATTAAGATAATTAACCCATACAGGATATTTTACTGGACAATCACTTTTTATGTGAAGCCACAGCTTCTTTTGCTGCCTTTGCCTTAAAAAAATCCATTTATTTCATTGTTGTTTGGGTCATGTTTCTTCCTTTAGAAATTGTGCATACATAGGGTAATTGTGTGTGTGTGTGTGTGTGTAGATATATATATGTGCATTAGGGGATTTTCAGTGATAGAAACTATTAATAACAGAAGCTTAGGGAGCTTTCTGGATTATGAACCAGCATATATGGACATTTTAAATACATTAGCTAGGATTGAAGTCACAGGATAATGTACTAGACAGGAGAATCAGCAAGAAGTTGCTCCAGTAAATCCGTTTCTCCAGTTTAATTAAAGCATGAACATAATTCCTGAATAAATTAGCTCAACCCAGGCACATTAAAAACATAATTCTTAAACTATAATGTATTAAAGAGGTCTTTAGGTAATCTTTTAAGAAAAAAATTATTCACCATGTTTATGTAATTATTGTATATATAAATATATATATTTTTATCTCCTCCAACAAAACTCCACAGTGTTTGTTTTGGTCAGTCCTCTGCAGTATCCTAGTAGGGACGTCACAGGTCTCTAATGGCTAATTCTTTTCCCAAGAAATTCTGTTTGTGTTCTCCCTCATCTTCAAATTCTCAGTCTTAATGCTTATCTCTTCTAAAATAATAAAAGCTTTCTGAACAGTCACATTAATCCTTACCAGTAGAGATGGCCACAGCTAACATTTTAGCAGACCTTCGGGCCATCTCTTGTTTGCTGGTAATAGTTCTGTTCCCTCTTTTTTTAAACCCTTTTGAGACTCTAATAATAGCAGAAAAATACAAATAAATACTCACGCAGAAATTTTTTATTATATATGATTTTAGGGCCTTCATATACTTAAGCTCATCTGAGTTCCCTTTGTTAACAACAGGTGGCTTGGCAATTGCTTTCTTCACTCCACGGCGTGTCCTGGGCACTTTCCCATCTCAGGGGTTACAGGCAGCACAGCATCCACTAAACCTCCTGTCCTCAGAGTTGCATCTTGAGCAGTTTCCTGCTTTATGTTGTTACAAATAATGTGTCTATGAACATTCTTGTGCACCTCTATTTGCTACTGCTATGATTGTTTAAATAATATGCCCGTTTACATGTTGACGCGAATTGCCTTAACTCCCCTCCAGAATGGCCTCGACTGCTCATAGGACACCTTCAAGTCCTGGCAGAGCAGAATCTTCTAAGACTCAGTTGCTCGTTCTCTTGCACCCATTTTCTCCTGCTAACTGGGAGGACCTAGTTTTCTGCTTAGTAAGTCTTGAATTTATCCTGAGTAACCATTGTCCCAGCTGCCTCAGACCCTGGAGGTGTAGCATGATGTCCTATTTCAGTCTGAAACATGACAGGATCATCCAACTTCTCCTCAGGGCCCCACTTCAGTTGAAGTCATTGATTAAAACCTAAGTTCAGGGCCTCCCCGGGTGGCACAGCGGTTAAGCACTGGGCCGTGAAGCTGCCCACAACCTCTGCAGCGCCGGTTTGATCCCCAGCCGCCGGCGAGGGTCCCACATGGCGCACAGACCTCTCCTGCCACCCGCTGCTCCCCTCAACTGTGCATTTCCTCAGTCTGCCTGTTCTGTTCTCTGCTCTAGCTCTGGTGAATTCTCTCACCCTCCCGCGCTTCTGACTGTACTCAGTATAAATAAATAAATAAATCTTTAAAAAAAAAAAAAAACTTTTAAAAAAAAAAAAGAAAAAACCTAAGTTCAGTTCACTCGCTTTTCCTGAAGGAAAAGAAATTCCCAACTGGCATACAAGTATATAGGTTAGTGGTTAGGTGCACACACACCGATTCATTAGTTTTGCACAAGGGACAGTACACTGTAGGTACAGTAGCTTCCACTACTGATAGATACAAAGCTTGAAGAGCACTGGAAAAATAAGTAGAGTTTCACTGGAGACCTCCTCTCTATATGAACATCTTACCTTTCTTATAATACCTAAAATATCTCAGGGACAGAAATCAAGTTATAGTTGTGAGCATCCTGCCTAGAATAGCGGGCAAGTATAGTAGCTGCTGATCAGATACATAACGATTGAGTGAATCAGTTTCAGTGCATTCAACAATGAAAAGTTTAATGTGTGTCACTTTCAGATGGTTCAGATTTCTGAGGCTCCTTCAAAACAAGTATAGAGACAGATGTTTTGCATTTCAAGGAGAAAGGTCTAGAAGTTTGGTAGTAGCCTGATTCAAATCGCATGCTTTCCAAAGTCAGTTTGCTTTATTTTTTCTTTTGCTTCCTTCGATGCCTCTTTTTCTTTGGCGGGGACAGATGCACATATTTGATAGTTGACTGGCTGGTGAGGAATAGAAAGTGAGCTTATTTGAAAGAATGGTAAGAGGCTCTTGTAGAGAGATGCCCACTTCTCAACACACGCCATCAGTTCTGTGGCCCTCTAACCTGCCGACTTGGGTTCCAGGTGTCACTACTGCAAGTCCTCGTGCCACGTTTCTTCCCTCCGCATCCCGTATGCCTGCAAGCTGCTCTTCCAGGAACTTCAGTCTATGAACATTATCCCCAGGTTGAAACTGTCCAAATACAATGAGTAAGGATGGGACAGAAGATTATTTAAGGAGAACCATTGATAAGTCCAATGCCTTGGGAAGCAGAAGGACAGGACTGTTTCTGCTCCTGTGAGTAATTCCTGTGAATGTTCTCACACAAGAAAAACTTTTTTGATGGAAAGGCATTTCATATAGAGAAGACTGACTAAACAACCTTGATCATTGAACCCCGGGCCTCAAGGGAGATACCAGCTATGTGGGCAATTACACAGTCTCTCATTCGTACACTGCCTTTGCTTCACAAAATGGACATTATGTTTGATGTCTTGAAATTCACTCATTAGAAAGACCTTCCTCCTTGAAAAGAATGTGTGGAGTTAAATTCTCCATGATGTGTTCTGGCTACGAAAACTCAAGTCTTAATGAAATTTGAAGGTGGTGAAGAATCTTTGACTTGGTTGGCTCAGCCTTTGTGAAGGTGTCTGATGTGAGCAGCGCATGAAATCAGAGCACGACTAATAGATGCCGTGGTGGCTTTGTTTGGTACTGCGCAGGGGCAGTGTTCCCAGCAATTGCATCTTGCCTTTGCACACCCAAACTTTAACATGTCCATCTTGGTGAAATACAATAAATGTATGCCTACTGTCTTACACAAGTTTACCAAGGATGTCGTCTTTCTTATGAACTCTATTGCTACTATGTTGAACCTCCATGGTAATACCATGCGGTAATATTTGCTGAATAGCTGGAAATAATTCCATGGGTGCTTCGTGATCTTGGTGTTCCTGTCACTCCTCCCAGGATTGTAGCTGTCTGTTTTCTTTTAAACTGACAGCCTTCTTCACCGTCTTCTAAATTGTTCTTATTTGCTCTGCTCTGAAGCCAGATCAATATTTGTGTTAAGGATTTTTTATAAAGAAGGTCTGAAAAGCTTTGACTAGCCTTTAATGCTGCGTTCCCCACATGTCACATCAAACATGTCCCACAGAATATCAGTAGATAGTGTACGCCAACAAGAATGGAGCTCCTGTGCCAAATAGGGAGAAACATGTACCCAAGATAAGCACACCCAGGACATTTTCAAAGCCTCTATCAAATTACCACATCCTGGGACTCTCCAGAAGAGGGACGTTCTGGGAGTGGGCTGGTCATTGACTTGAGAACCAACCTCCACATCATTTTATTCTCTTCAATATAGAAAGCTCTAACACAGGTGAGACAGCCCCAGGGGCTTCACAGTAAATGCAGCATGAAAGACACTGCAGGTAAGCAGACCCACCACAGCTGCCCAGGTGCCCCCTTTGTCTCAGGGCTGGGCGGGGATGACGCCACAGAGCAGCTTGATCAGTGATTAGGCCGGTTACGCTTCTGTTTCCCCTGACTGCGTACTTCTCAAAATTGAGAATGCCTAAAGATGACTGTTCTGAGTCAGATGTCCAGAGCATTTTACTGAACTTTGTACAATGTGAGACATGAGTGTTTTACATTCTGTGACAAGTCCTCTTGTCAACTCCACAGAAGAGGCAGTCGCCAACAGCCCATTTCATGAGCGCTGGGAAGAGCTGCCTATGTGATGCGTGTGGTGTGCTGGCCTGGGGGCTGTGTCACGTACCATCAGTGCCCTGTGTGACACAGGGTAAAAAGAGCAGGGCTCAGCATCTGCTGTGGGGGCTCAGAACCCAGTGGAGGGGGCTGAGGCATTGGCCACCATGGAAACCCACCCTGCAGTCAGTGCTGAGGGAACCCCCAGGACAAATTGATTCATAGGCTCTGGGGATTTAGAAACACATCGTAAGCCGGACTGCTCCCCTTATTCAGCTGTAGAAACTGAGGCTCCAAATGGTTAAGTGACTCCCCCCAGCCACACCACTAGTGATGAAGCCAGTAGCATGGACCTTGAGACCATGAAGTTGGTCCTCCCAACTTCAGAGCTCTTTTTGGGGTTCACTCCTGAGTCTGTTTTTCAGTCACCAAAAGTGATGATTTTTTTTTTTTTAATTCACTGAATGGTTCTATTTCTTAAACATTTTTTTTGAAAGCCACTCCAGGCAGGCAACTTTGACCATTTTGAAAGGAGTTACCTACCTAACCTTCTAGGAAATTCTCAGTTTTTTAATTTACAGACCTAGAAAGTGTGGGTTCCAAATTGAGACATCCATAAGGGGAAAAACTGTCAGGTTGATGTTTCCAAAACCAGCATTTTGAATAGCTGTCTGACTGAGAAAAATTTTAATAAAAGAGATCAGAATTGGTAAGTTAGACCTACTAGGGGTTTGTTTTTGTTTTTAAGTTATTTGTAAGTTCCTTGTTTTAAAAACGACCAGTTAGATTTCCATTTCCAGTAATGACAGAGTAACTGTGTACAGGCCACCCTCAGAGCCTTTTTCCTTGTGGCCCCTGCCAGGTTGGAAGTGGCACAGAAATGAGAGGCTTGGGGGCCTCCCTGGTGGCACAAGGGGTTAAGACGCAACCTATGAAGCTATCGGCAGCCACTGCAGCATGAGTTCAATCCCCGGCCAGGGAGCTACCCACATGGCACAGCAGACCTCTCCTGACTCACTTGCTGCTCCCCTCAGCAGTGTATTTCAGTCAATCTGCCTGTTCTGTTCCCCACTCTGTCTCTGGTAAATCCTCTCACCCCTCACACCTCTGGCCTATACCCCAGGTCTTGTATGCATAATAAATAAAAATTTTTTTTAAATGAAAAGAGAGGCTTGAAGGAGACACCAGAGCCACCAGCAGGCTCCAACCCGAGCTTTGGCAGAGTCAGAGGGCTGGAGTGGGAAGGCCATGATCTCAGTCGCCAGAATTCCAGGCCTGGAAAGGCCAAGATCCCAAACAGAAAGAAAGCTCATTGAGGTGAGCCTACCTTCCCCACCACTTTCTCCTGTGTCTTTATCTGCTCCTGCTGTTGTAATAGAATGCCGGACTGGGTGGTTTCCACACTAGAAATGTATTTTCTCACAGTTCTGGGGGCTTGATATCCAAGGTTAAGGTACTGACAAGTTTGGTTCCTGGTGAGACCTGTGCTTCTAGCACAGACGGCCACCTTCTCATTGCCTCACCTAGCCTTTCCTTGGTGTGCTCTAAAAAGGAATGAGACCTGGTATCTCCTCCCCCTAAATGGACCCTAGCCCTCTCAGGTTAGGGATCTTGTGACCCCAAACAATTACTACCTTCATGAAGACACTGTCACTGACAACAGTCACATTGGGTGTTGGAGCTTCAACATGTGAATTTTGGAGGGACATAATTTGGTCCATAATAACCCCTTAAGGCATTTGCCAACTCATAACAGCACAGACTGGCCTGCTAACAATAGCTATTAAAGCTGAATGAACATTCCGAACTCCTAGGTGTGTGAGCAACAGAAAATTCTACATACATCATCAGTAGGTGCGCACAAAAATTTTTCTAATAGCATAATTTGCAATAGCTCCAATTTATGAATAATTCCTGCCCATTAACAATGTAATCTGGTACATTCACACCAAAGAGTGCTATACAGCAATGGAAATGAATTGCTACATACAGTATCATAAATAATGTCACAACTATGGTGTTGGATTTCAAAAAATTGGCATTATCCTAAAACGAAATAAGCCAGAAGGAGAAAGATAAATACCGGGCATTTTCACTTATATGTGGAATATACAGAAACCAAGTGGAGGACTTCAGATAAGGACAAACTTTACAATCAACCCTGGAAAACTGACCATAGATCTGAAGCATGCAGGAGTGGAGTAGAAGCGAGAGGAGGAGGGGAGAAAAAAGGGAGTGGGTAAGCACAGTGGACTGTGGTGGAGGATTATGGGTGTTGTGGTGATGGGAGTGCTGTGATGACCACACTTAAGGGGAGAAGTTCTTTGTTGTCAAAAAACGAGGATGTAAAATAATGGTAGTTCAATAAAAAAAAAGATTTTTTTTTTTTTTTAGAGGCATGTTTTATTTATTTATTTGTTTGTTTGTTTGTTTGTTTCTTTTGTTTATACATGCACTGGGTACAGTCAGAAGCACGGGAGGGTGAGAGAATTCACCAGAGCCAGAGCGGGGAGCAGAGCAGGCAGAAGGACCGAAGTACACTGCTGAGGGGAGCAGCGGGCGGCAGGAGAGGTCTGCGCGCCATGTGGGACCCTCCTCCGGTGGCCGGGGAGCAGCCGGGGATCGAACCGGCGCCGCAGAGGCACGGGCTGCTTCACAACCCAGCGCTCAACCGCTGCGCCACCGGGGAGGCCCCCCCCCAAAAAAAGAGATTTTTTTAAAAAGTTAAACACAAAAAAACACATGGTATCAGTTCTATTTAAGTTCAAAAACTAATCTATAATTTAAAAGTCATGATAACAGTTCCCTGTGCAGAGTGGGTGACTAATAAATGGTACAAAAGGGTATATCTAGGGTGCTGGTGATGCTTTCTTTTAACCTAACCATTGTTAGGACAATTCGTTGAACTATGTATTATACACTTGGGATTTTTCACTTTTTTTTTTAAAGATTTATTTATTTATGCATACAAGAGCTGGGGTACAGGCCGGAGATGCAGGAGGTGAGAGGATTCACCAGAGACAGAGCAGGAAACAGAACAGGCAGATTGACCAAAGTACACTGCTGAAGGGAGCGGCGGCCGAGTCAGGAGAGGTCTGCTGCGCCATATGGGTTGCTCCCTGGCGAGCCAGGGATCGAGGTCGTGCTGCAGAGGCTGCGGATTGCTTCATAGTGCGGTGCCTAACCCCTTGCGCCACCAGGGAGGCCCCAGGATTTTTCACTTTTCTGATAGATGTTACACTTTAATAAGTTTAGAAAAGGAACACAGTTCTAAACCTGTGTTACTGTCTCTTCATTAATGCTGCGTCAACCCAAATATAATCTATGGTCTTTGTCCTTTTCATTTTCCCATTTTCAAAGTAGGGATAATAACACTACTAACTCCTAGGGTCATTTTTAAGATGAAGTGAGATCACCCACCTAAAGGGCTCAGCACTGTGCCTGGCACATAGCAGGCGTTTGCAAAGATGTGTAGTCGTTTCCACTGCTAACAGCCACGTACTCCTATTTACAGCGCTGCCAGGACTGGCCTTGTCCTGCACGGCGTCATCAGGAAAGAGTTAGGAAAGGCAAACCCCACGTTTCCTTTGGAAGATGGAGTTTGGAAAATAGGACCAAGTGCAGAAACCATAGGGCTTTGCAAAAGCTCTTTTTGAAAGCCGCCCCATGTCACGGTGATGGAGAGGACGGAAGGTGGTAGGATTAGAAAGCACACTTCCCTGGACGACCATTCACCACGGACATCAAAGTGAGGCCTGTTGTCTGCGCGGGAGTCCGGAATAGTTTCATGAAGCCCACAGAACCAGGTCTCAAAACGCTTCCATGTGGTGAGTGCCAAGTAAAGGATTAAAAGGTGGGGGGCGGGGGTGGGGCTTGATTGGGTGCTACATAATGGGATAGTTTTCAGCTGCTTCAGAGCCTTTGGGCCAGCACCTTTATTTGCAGTAATGAGTCACATGAGAACGAGCACGTCAGGGCTGGTGACTAGGCCCATCCGCTTCTCGGCCGCCTGAGTAATAGAGAAGCCAGTTTCCGAGAGACCTGTAAATAATTCCTTTGTGAAGCGGATGGTCAGAAAAGTGACTGTAAAAGTAGCACCTCTTTACCATCCATATTTACTCCATATGTGTCTTGAAAACAGTTTATCTCATTTGCTAACCAAAAGTTGGGTTTTTACTGCTTCGGCCCCACAGGGTCAAGGTTGGTGGGAAATTAACGTCAAGCTCTAAAGAGGCATTTTTAAATGAGGGGCACAAAATTGGTGGCAATCCAGAAGTTTATACTGTTTGTTACGAAAGCCAAGCTACCAATTTGGATTTCAGACACAGGCTCCAGAAGCAATTAGGAGATTTGCTTCAGCAAATCAGATTTATGAGGATCAGGATGTCATGGCAGAAAGTTCCAAAACAACCTGAAACTCACAGTTTCACTCCCTGGTCTGATATCTCAGAACATGGTCGAAGGAGGTAAAGCATTTCTCAACTAATAGCCTCATTGCATGCGTAATAAATTTTAAGTCTGGTTAACTCCCAATCATCCACAATCATAGAAGCAAGGAGCAGTGTGAGTAAATTAAAACAGATGATGGATCCAAAGGTCTTTGCATTGAATGCTGGGGTGAAGTTTACATTCACTTTTTTTTATGTCGCAAGTGGAAATTTAGTAAATTTGCTATACTTTAATCAGTGACTCCAGTGAACACTGAATTTAAAGGAACTGGAATAATGCCTTGTAAGGCCAATAGTGACAGCCCTTTGCAGGGGTGGGTAGCCTGATGGGATGCTCCTAGGCCAGTGTCAGTGTGGTCCCTGCACCAGCCGCATCAGCATCACCTGGGAACTTGTAAGAAATTTGGGTGGAGCCCCACAATCTGTATTAACAAACCCTCCAGGCGATTCCAGCACTACCTAAAAGTCCAAATCCACTGTATTCAGCTACATGACGAGCTTTGAATCACCTCTTCTATTAGAGGCATGTTTTGGATATTTAGGGATGCCAAAGAACCCACCTGTTGGGGGCAGCTCCCCATTTTTCTTTCTGACTTCCCCTTAGGCAGCAGGTTTTGTGGACACCCCCATCCCCCAGGGCTCCCAGCCTGAAGAGGGCCTGAGCAGAGGAATTTGGTGGAAGAGCTAGAATCTGCTGCGGGAAAAGCTCTGCTTACTGCGGCTACAGTGCTGCTGCTAACTCATGCGACTGGTTTCCGCCTCCCTGACCTGAGGCTGCCCTTGTCCGGCTGCTGCTTCTCCATTCCCCACTCGGCCTGCTGCCTGCCAGGCCCACAAAGATATCCCAAGTCGAAAGTGGCCTTTCTGAAATGACTCTTCAGAAACCCAGTTTGTCTCTCTCCAGCCTGGTCACTTCAGTCTCTGGCTGAGTCCTTGCAGGGGTGTCACAGTGCCACCATTCCCAGCACAGCTTCCTTAGGGCTCGCAGGGGTTGCTTGGGCTGTGATTTTTCAACTCTTCCCAGGAGCTGAGCCTGCAAGAGTGTGTGTGGAAACCCCAGAAGGACCAACCCTGGAGCTGCAGGCCTGGAAGTGAATGGGCCAAAATCTTATCAACAAAGGAGGGGCAAAGCCGCTCTCTGTCCTGCTTAGGTGAGCCCGGCAGAGGCTCTGCCCATGCCCTGGACGGAGCTGGAAGGCCCAGGTCTTCCCCTAATACACCAAGTCTCCATCTTCTCCCTACCTGCCTCATCCACCCCACACAGGCTTGCCTGGGGTTAAGAGTATTACCTAGCTCATAGGTTTGCTGTGACAAGTAATGAATTAATGCAGGTGAACAGTGCCTTAGCACTTAGCATAGTGCCTGCCCTTGGTAAACACTCACTCACCTGGTCAAGGTTTACTTTCCTCTGCTTATATATGTAAGCACTAAACTAGACCAGTTTCTTAACCTCAGCCTATTAACATTTGGGGCCAGGTAATTCCTGTTGGGGAGGGGAACTGTCCTGTGCACTGCAGAATGTTGGCCTCTACCCACCAGATGCCAGGAATATACCCCTAGTTGTGACAATCGAAGTCTCCAGAAACATCCTTCACAGGCTAAAAGTCCTCATTGGAGAAGCACTGAACTAAATAATACGTGTGAAAGTGGTTTCTATTACAAAGCAAATGAGAAGAGTTTTTAAAATTGCAGTTGTGGATTTGTCCGCAGTAAGCTGAGCCAATGTGTTTTGGGATCACCGAGCATTATATTAATGTGTTAAGGTGGACCACAAAACCCTTGTTTTCTCTCAGTGTACCAGTTGTAAATGGCATCAGATAAAACTGCTACCAATCCTGTTGGTCTTTAAGTCAAATAAGCTTTGTTTATTGTACAATGTACTTTTATATACCTGGTGATAATGTTACAGATATCAAAAAGCAAGGATAATTACACTGTTTTAATTCACTTTCACCCACACCTTGATGGTTTAGATATAGCCTGGCTTTGTTTGTTTTTATCAAGGACACATGCTGATTTCCGTCTTTTACCCAATCAAATCTCAGAGGTGTGTTTGCCACCCTATCATGTGGCAGGGACCGTTCAGCTCCCAGTCTGCCCCAAAGCCAGAAACTCTGCCTTCCTTTTGAAGGGCCCTTCGTGATTAAGAGGGTCAGAGTCCTAGGGGAACCCTCTCCCGCAAGCTAGAATACTGCTTGCACTTCAGGATGATGGCAGTGGGGTAGGATCCCCAGAGCAAAAATCTTAGCAGCAACAACAGACTTTCTGAGTTACTGACAAGTCCCCTTCATCAATACTCTGAGTCTTACAGGTCCTATGTGGGGCAAAAGTCTGGCAGGACCTGAGATATGTAAATGTTGGTCCACAAAATGAAACAGAAGGCTGTTAGTGATTCATTACCTGCTCTGCTTTCAGGAAACGTTACTCTAATTACCTTACTCAGTGTCAGATGTTACAAAAACCTGGTATTAAATATTTGTAGAGATTGAGGTAGACACAGCTCTGATTATACAGATGTTATAGGACATTTTCTTTGAAATAAAGTCAGGGATGACAAATACAGATACATGTGCTTCTATTCTGTGTCTGGAACGCCTTGGCAGCTCCCTAATTAATGATGGCAGGCTACCCCGCTAACCTGAGCTTGACCTTAGACTCTTGAACACCAAACTCAGGCAGCCGTAACCCATCAGCTGCAAGGTGCGAGCGTGCCCTGGTCAAGAGCAGGGACTCCAGACTCAGACTGCCTGCCTTGGGATCTTGGCTCCAACACCCCCTAGCTGTATGATCCTGGGCCTCAGTTTCCTCAGTCTTGAAACTATAGTAAAAATAGTGCCTACTCCTAGGACTGATTGAGTCAATTATTGTGCCCCCCCCCATAACAAATGTTCAATAAATATCAGTTCTATCATTAGGATGAATTGGAAGTGGCTT